CTCCCTCTCCTCCCAGACCTCCGCCGCACACGCTTCGCTCGCCTCACGGCAATAGTTGCAACTTTAGCCGAGCCAGTAAAACGCGGCGACTCATAACGGGCGCGCCGTAAAAGTAAAGCTCGGCATCGGCAGAGCCATCCCGCCGGAGAGAGAGAGAGAGATGTAACCGCGCTGGGGGCGGCAGGCAGGCCCGGCTGTGGGCTGCGCCACCTCCCACAGCGTCGAGTGAATGTTAACGGCACGTATTGGAGCGTACCTGGACGGGTTCAGGGTCCTCGTCCAGGACGTCGGTGTCGATGGAGGAGCGCTGCTGGTGCTGCACCATGAGCATGTGCTTCCGCCGGGACGCGGGGCTGAGGGCCGAGGTGTGCGCCGTGCTGGGGTGCAGGCTGTGCGCCAGGCTGTGCTGCTGCAAGCTCAAGTCGGCCGAGTTGTCCGAGTCGGCTTGCAGCACCTACGGGGTTGGAACGAGACCAGGGGCGTTGCGTCAGGACAGTAGGGTAGGAACTAGGGATGTGCAGACCGACCATTGCTGAGAGCTCGATTAAGAAAAATACAAGCAACAATTATTAACATGTTGAGTGCGGATAATGGGGGCGTGATTAACTGGTCATGCCGCATTCAACGCGAGAAATGATTTGATTTTGGAGAAATGGGAGATTTGATACGAGGTCGAAAGTGTACTGATAACGTCCAGGATCCGCACATCCCTATGAGGAATAGAAAAAGAGTAAGGCGAGGTGTAAAATGCAACCCATCAGACGGCAGCCGCCTCAGCCGTCTGTGCTCATTGTCCCTGTCGCTGAACACTGTGGAAGCGACACGAGCTGTTTCCTACAGTACAATGAGGGAAGCTTCGAGACTCCTCTGCTTCGTATTTGCCGCGCGAAAGTCAAGTGCGGCGGCATGTGACGGTGACCTTGCAACCTTACACTGAACGCGTGCCCTCACTCACCGTGGCCTGGCTCTCGTTCCAGATGCCGTTGGTCTCGGCCAGCGAGTCCGACGACGCGAAGGGCGACAGGCGCGCCCCGGGCCCCGCCTTGCCGTTCATCCTGCGCGTCGTCAGCCCTCTGCCGGGCGCCGGCGAGGTCCTCGGCGTGTCGCCCTCGTCCTGCAGGTCCTGCTGCTCGCCCTCGAAGCGGTCAGACTGACGCCTGAACTGGTCGCGGGGGAATACGGCCAGGTCCGGGTCGGCGGTCGACGTGTCCTCCAGGGACACGCTCTTCTTGCGGAAGAGACCGCGGTAGATGAGATTCTCGTGAAACTCGTCGTCGAGCGAGTCCTTGGGGCCGAGGCCCACTATCCTGAGGCGAGGGTGCACCAGCTTGCCCGTCGGCACCACGCCGTCCTCGTCCTCCTCGTCCTCGTCCTCTTCATCCTCCTCTCCAACGTCCTCGTCGTCCATGCCGTCGTCCTGCTCCGAGTGGTCCGAGAGGTCGCACTGTAAAGGCAAACAAACCAAAGTTCACTGACGTTGACCGAGGAGACGGCGCAGTCCCTCCTCGGGGTTCACTCGTGGCCTCACCTCTCGGCACGGGGACATGTCCTGTGGAGGGATGGCCCCCAGGGGACCCCCCATGGGCGGGTCCGTGATGAGGATCTCGCCGTCGCCGAGGAAGCTGTGCCGCCTGCGCCCTGGTCCCTGGGCCGGGCCCGGGCCCGGCGCCCCCGGCGCTGCTCCCTGGGGCGCACCCGCCTGGCTGCAGGGTGGCGACGAGCACGGCCCGGTGCACCCGGGCCCGCACGGCGCCAGGCACGGCGCTCCGCACGGCGCCCCGCAAGGCTGCGGCTCGAAGTCAATCAGGATCTCCTTGTACTTGCTCGGCCTCCTCTCCTCCAGGTCCCTGGCCTCCAGTATGTCCTGAGAAACAAAAATGATGAAACGTGACTCAGCAAGTCACCGCGAGCAACATTACGTGTGATAGACTCGTCGTTACAGCTACAGCACCGTCACTTACCATGGATCCCCGCCTACTGCCGAGCGGGTCCCTGTCACGAGACTCGCGGGACGAGTCCCTGCGGTCCCTTTGGTCCCAACCGTCGCGCAGGTCGTGGTGGTCCCGTTGCAGAAGAGGCGCAATTTGCCTGGAACGTGCGCCAATAACCAACCGCAACGTCAGTCCACGCCCAGAAACGGGAGAAAAGAGGAAAGTTTGGGATGGCACCTACCTCGAGTCTTTGGGTTGTGCTGCCTGCGGCTGATACCCTGGTCCTGGATGCCCCGGAGGGCCGTGGCCGTGGACAGGCCGGCCTTGAGGGGGAATGTGTCCCTGGGGGGCGTGCCCCTGAGGGACGTGAGCTTGAGGGATGTGTCCTTGCGGTCCATGTACTTGGGGCATGTGCCCTTGGGGGGCGTGGCTCGGGGGGATGTGGGGCT